CCCAATATTGTGCATCCCTAATTCTAATAACACTATTGTCTTGAAATTCAAATTTTCAAAGTTTTTCACTGAGGGACCTATAAAGGGTTAAGGAAATCATTTAACTCTTACTATATACATGCAAGGTCCCCCACTTATTTATTCCTCTAGAGACCGTTTAAATTGATAACTAATGAAACAACAAATGCAACAATTAATAGGGAGGAAATCCCAATAAATAGAGAAACACAAAGTAAGCAGAAAAGGAAACTTTTACTGACCCTTTAAGGAGCAGCTAAAAAACTCCTTCAGCTGATGGTAATGATCCTGATTCTTCTTCAGGATCTCTGTGAACTTCTCACAGGTTTCTTCTCCTTTCTCAATGATTGTTCTCAGAAGGCAGCTCATCTGCTGTTCGCTTGGCTTCTTAATGATGTCTTTATATTCATTGACACTTAAAATGTCTCCACTCTGATTGAGGATGTGCTCAGTGTCTGCTGACAGCCACCCTGTTAATTGGTCCTGGTAAGATTTTAGTCGCTCCATGTCTGAAGGCTCTCAGAGGTTGCTGGTCAGATACCCTGATTAAAGAAATACTGAAATGGTTCAAAAGGACAGAAAGAGTTTCAGGTTCTGTTCTTCTTTTAATAACTTCTGCTTATATTTTTCTATTTCCGCCCGTTCTCTCAGAGAAAAGATCATTAAACCGCAGCGACGGATCGGATCTACACGCAGTTTGTTTATAGTAAAAGTTTTTCTTTAACCAGAATTGTGCAGCTTATCTAACTGGAAACATGATCATTAACAAACATCTGCATAATACAACATTAAAACCTGCTTAAAAGTCTGTGAAATGAGTTCTTACCTTTCAGCGGTGAAACCGAAAGTGAAGAAAAGAAGAGAAAAAAAAGAAAGAAAAAAAAGTACACGTTGTTTCCTGTTCATAGCTTCATTTGCAGCAGTTCATTGGTGCGTCAGCGCAAATTGCATTTAGCCAGGGACGGATTTAGGAAATCTGGGGCCCTAGGAATAGACAGGCAGGGGCCCCTCTGAATTGAGAAGACACATAAAACACCCAATATACAGATACAGAAATGTTAATAGAATAAACAAACATTATTTGTTATAGGTTTTATCCCTCTCTTCTTGTTGTTTTCCTCTCTATGTTTTTGTACTCAGCTGACTTTTCATGCTTAAAAGGAATGAAAGATTTTTTCCAAGCACTAAGCTCACTTAGCTGATTGCTCCTTCCTGTGTTTGTAAAAAGGCGACGGCAAAAGTAAATAACCTAGTCCCTTTTTTCACTGTAGACAAGCCATGATGTGCTTATCTTTTCTCCATTTTTCATTTGGATGAAATAATAGCTGCATGAATCATGACAGCAGACAAGATAAAGGACAGCAGGAGGCGGGGTTACCAATCTACTTGCTCTAAACAGAGTTAGTTGCTTTTATATGCTTGTCACAAAAGTCTCCAGTAACAGAAAAAAGTCAATAGATTGGGGAGATGAACTGAAAGTGAAGCCTATGATTATTTAATGCTAAAGTTCGAAAGCCTGATAAACAAACAGGTTAACTGCAAGCCCAAATTACATGTGCAATGCATTATTTGAAAGCTAACACCCTCTAGTTTCGTAATATATAAATTAAAATTGGGTGACTAGAACACAGACCAACCTGCATCAGTTCAAACATGACTCAAAGTTGTTGTTTTTTTATTCTCGGAAATCTTTTTTTTAACAGCAGTAATTCTGAAAATGTCAGACCTCTTGCTATAACAGTTCCAGACCTGTGGGGCTTTGAACTTTTGGTGTCAGCTTGGAGCTGCGCGCAATGGCTCCACCTGCTGGTAAAAATTTAACCAATGGAAATTTTATGCATTCTGAATTATTACCCCGACTTAAGCCGGCGACCCGGTGGGTTTTAAGAGGTTAAATGAACCACATATGTCTAATAATTAATTAATCCTAACTTCATGAATTTAAATATGATAAATATTAGTTCAATAGACTAAGTAAATAAACAGGTTGTATTTGTCCAACATCATGGAATTATAAAAATAAGTTTGGACATAGTCTACTGAAAATTATTTTATGAGCAGAAACCTTACATTGATCAAATATTCATGAGAAATATCTCTAATTTCCCATTAAAACATCACTGATTTATAAGTAATGTTATTAGTGAGTAATTTTCAGCCACTTTTAGAAGTCTTTATTGAGATTTGCTTTGCTTTATGATTTTGACTTGCTGTTTACTGTTAACAATAGAACACCCAAAATATAATAAATACAGAAAATATGAAGTAGTTCCTGATCTTTGTTTCTTAAACACAAAATCCAGATATCAGCAGCTCCTGGTTTTATTTCTGATGTGTAATCTTATTAGGTAATTGACTCTTTCAGTTCATTCACTTATAGATAGGCATTACATCTCGCTGTTTTATTCTAGTGAAGTATAGGGAATAAATGAGGCTAAAGAAATAATGGCTGCAACTGGAAACCTAAAATCAAGAAATAAACATCAGAAAGGTATATCCAACTTGAATAAAGTATGTCTTACTGTTTTTAAGTATACTTCCAACCTTAATTGAAAAAATATATATAAAGTTACCTTTTATAACTGTTATACAGATGATTTTAGCAATGGAAAAAAAGAATAAAAGTCCAAACATATGCACAATTATGGATTTTATTACAATATACCAACCCATCAATCCTGAATAGTCAAAGGTTAATGGGAGAAAGGTGGTGTTAATCTTAAACAGATCGACATTTCATCATAGAAACACACAGGACAGAGACCCATGCACACGCTCACACAGTAGTAGCCATTCTAAATTCCCCCACTTTCCTTTATAGGCCCTTGGCTGGTCCCCTGAGATTCCTTTTTTAAACATCAATCTTAGTACTAAAATATTCTTTCTGTCATGATTTGTGGACATTAAGATCTAAAGAGATTGCCCTGATTAGACCCTGTAATTCACTAAAATGGTCAGAGTAAAAAAATATACACACCCAGAAGAAGGCCAGTGGCAGGAATTGGACTGCCATTCGGCTGGAGTTTGACTGGGAAGGGCCAATTTGATTGGCTGCTACTGTACATAAGGTCAATTTCGAGTAACTGATGAACTAAACAGTCATGTATAAAAACTGTGTGTGGAGTACCCAGAGAGAACCCACTCAAGCAAATGGATTCAAACTCCTTGCAGAAAGATCCCAGGCCAGGATTTGAGCCAGGCACATTATTGCTGCTAGGCAACAATGATTATTTCAGCTTAACAAAATAAAAATTCAGATGTTCCTCTAAAAGCTAAATATATTAATGATAAATTACTTTTCTTTATGTTAAAATAAGAGTGCAGACATAAACAAACATGATAGTAGAAACAATAATAGCCAGCTGTTCCCTTAACCTTTATTTTCACTCTGTAGATGGACAACTGAACAGTAAAATAATACATGGAATTTGATAGTTTATGGGGATATATTGTAAGAAGTGGATGAATAATTGTGATGGCCCTGCTGTGCTGTCGGGTGAGCTTATGTGTAAACTGCCTAAACTAACACTATCAA